ATGCTGTGTTTTCAAATACCTCTACCCGTGGGCAAACGCTCTATATAATGGGTCTATTTTGTTATACAATATTGCTTATATGTATGATAAAACGCCATTTCATACGCCCTGGTTAAAACTTATAGGCATCCAAATTCGAAGAATGAATGCAGAGGATTATGTATGTCGTATATATGTGTAATAGTTGTTTTTAGAGTACAGTAATAATTAACCATAATTTTTATGTGGTCTAAATTATTGTATGTAGCGTGAGCATCTAAGGCGCCAAAACCAGTCAAATCATTTGACTAATTTTCGAGAGATGACGAAGCTTCAAGTTACTCGATATATCTTAGCAATGGTTCTTTATCGAGGACTTAATTTTCTCAAAATCTTATTACCAATGTCAATCTTTTTTTTTAAATTTCTGGAATGGTGGTATTCTAGTGAATTCTCTAAACGTTTGAATGGTGGCGATGGTGTTGACATACAACCACCGGATATTATACTGGTAAATTTAAAGCTATTCATTTAGATTTTCCATCTGTAATTTATTAATATTGCCATCATATTTATTGATAGCCTGATCCAAGGGGTATTCCACTTCCTGAATCTCCTAACATTTGTCCTCTTTGCGTTTCGCAATTAATGAACCCAACTGCAATTCCATCTGGCTATGTCTTCTGTTACACGTGCATATTTCATTATGTTGAAGAATTCAATCGATGCCCTATTACTTTGATAAAGATTGGAACCGATGAATTAAGAAAAGTCTACAATTCAACATCATGAATATTATCTACAGTGTATATAACATTCATGATGTTGAATTGTAGACTTTTCTTAATTCATCAGTTCCAATCTTTTAGTGTTCCTAAATAAGCTGGCTTGCTGCAGCTTATTTGTTATACCCCAGGCTTACTGCGGCTTATAAACCTGTGTAACCATATAATTTAATCTAAATTACTGTATATAGTTTAAATTAAAAATTTTTTTTTTAAAATTTAATCTAATATTAAATTAAAATTTTATTAATAAAAAAAAATAAATTTAATTTTAATATTTGGTTAAAATTATAAATTTTAATCATTTGTATATTTTGATTTAAATTTTAAATTAAAATTAGAATTAATATTATAAAAAGAATTAAAGTTTAGAATTAGGGTTAAAGATAGGCTAGAATAAGATTTTTTATAATGTTGAATATTTTTATTTAATATATCAAATATGGTCATTTAGTTTAGTTTTTAAGATAGTATAATGGGTAGTTATATAACCAGAAGGGCAAATTA